AAATATAAAGAGACTACTCTAATGATACTCTCTGTGAGATTTCCTCGTAGAGTCTCTTTGTTGGTCTGTTCAGTGTGAGCTATACCCTTATAGGTTCACCCACGACTTTAGCTAAGACATCTCCATATCTGTAGCTCATGAGGTCTTTACCTTGCATCCGAATACAAGTAGAAAAGTCGTGCTAGTCTTATCCGAGATTACTGATCCCCATTCTCAGTGTCTCTAGACTAGGAACATAAAATTAGGAATAAACATCCGGTATCCTTAAATCCTCATGATCGTGATCTCATCACAGATACTTAATAGATACCTATTTTATTCCAAGGGATTTATCCAGTTACTCATATAATATATTAACAATAATATTGAGACAAAATATGAAACAGGATAAAGAGTGCTTTTATTTATTTGCGACAATATAAAAGGTCCATATATGTCTTAATCTAATCAAAAGATTGTCTCTAGGACATCCATATACTAACAGAAATCCTAGGGGATATTTATTGACTTTAAATATCATCATAAAATAAAGAAGGAAGGACTGAAAGAAGAAATTATTTATCAAAATAATTTTCATCCAGTCTCCAATTAGTAATCCAATATTTCAAATGCTAGTCTAGTTAACAATTAAAAATAGTAACGAAATCATTATCATAAAGCAAATTATCCATAAAAGATCAAAATTATTTGAATATATCCATATTCCACATAAATATATGCGCTTTATGGAAGCACACTGGTGTCATTGATCACCACTGAATGCCCTAACTTATGTTTCACTTGTCACCCGAAAACATGCTAAGTGAGAAGAACTTTTTGAAGAAATACGAAAATACAAGTAAAAGATAAGTTATGTCATTTAAAAATTCAAATATTTTTTCTAAGTTAAAACATGACTAAACCCAAGAACAAATTTTTAAGGTGAAATTGGACAAAATATAACCGATTCGTATAAGACATAACTACACATAAGCACACTTCCGAGAGTATCAAAGATACATTTAGTTCTTTAGACTTAGTAGGCAAGACTATTTATACAAATTGCAAGATAGAACGTGCATGAGTTGAGCGAGGAAAAACCGAGAGCATAAAAGATTACAAAAAGAATAGGAATATTCAATTTTCTTTAGATATCTGTACCAACTACACCACCATTTACCCCTAAAAGAATGAACAGTTACTAGTTGATTTTAACGATAAATTTGGCCTGGTAGCCAAAACTACCTTTCTTTTCGACGTGGTATTCGCGGTCTGGATTGGATCGATTTTAAAAGCAAAAATCATCCAATCCAATCCCTTCGATTTGATCCTGTAATCATCCATTCGGTTTGAATTTTTTTTCAAATTCGATCCGATCCAATCCAATTTTTTCGGTTTGGATTGGATCGGTTTTCGATTTTTTGAAAATCCTAAAATTTGTTTGATGACTATTGTGCAAATTTTTTGTATATATTAGTAAACGATAATATAATTTTTTTTTTGGACAATGAGATATGAAGCTCTACATAGATGAAATTTTGTTGATGAGATGTGACTAGATTTTTTTTTGAGTTTTGTTGATAGGTTAATAGATCTTGGATTTAAAAATTTTTGGGCTATGATTGAGAAAAAACCCAAGCAGGGAAAGCCCCAAGTAGGTAGAGGAAAATTAATAGTGGATCGGTTTGGATTGGATCGGTTTTCATCTACCAATCCAAAAACCGATCCAATCCAATTAAAATTTACGGTTTTTTTTCGGTTTTCGATTTTTCGATTTTCGGTTTATTCGGTTATCGGTTTTTTGATTCGGTCACCACGATTTGAATCGATTTAGATCGGTTGATGAACACCCCTACATTTACCCCTAAAAGAATGAACAGTTACTAGTTGATTTTAACGATAAATTTGGCCTGGTAGCCAAAACTGCCTTTCTTTATGTACACACAAAAAAAAAAGCTGCCTTTCTTTTCGATTCATTTAACATGCTCTTCAGCTAAGTGTGCAGTAATGAAACCTAGAAATCGAAGTAATTATATCTCCACCATATCAAAAAGACAAAAACACCAGAGTAGACCAAAACCATAATGAATCAAAGCTTTTGTAGAACTTGCGTGAAAATAGTTAGCTTACAATTGTAAAGATCAAGGCAAAGGTCATGAAGGTGTACCATTGCTCAAATCAAAAATGCTAAAGATGGGGGTGATAGATAAACAATGCATTAATGTTTCAATACAAAATAATAGGTTTAGCATTTCTAAGGCCATATCAATTACAGAAGAAACTCGTTAAGTTGTATACTTCAAAGGGCAACAAGTGAGGTTCTTACAACATTACAAATATGCTGACATGCTTAAAAATGAAAAGTTACTCAACCAGGTAATAATTGCTAATATGGCAAAATAGCACAATTGACATGAAAATTGAGGGACATTCATATTTGAAGTTGTTGACATGTTAATTACATAGCCTGCGCTTCAGACTTTATACATTATAAATAGATGTGTTCAAATATGCTTTCTCCTTTTATAAATAACCAGATGATTGACATTTTGCATAGTTAATCATACCTGAAAAGTAGCATATCTAAATAGGCTTAGCTGATTCATTCCTCCTCAGTTGAGAAAGGTGATACTCCTGAACTGAGCTTTACTAAAAACTTGATCTGTTAATCTACTGCAATTTACTATTCAAAAGATTATCCTTGTAAGGATATCCAACAATGAAGAATATTGACCCCTCTTCAATCTAAACAAAGTACCATGCCACAAAATGGAAAAGACACCAAAAATTAGGGGAAAAAAACAAGAAAGAGCTATAGAGGAACAAAAACGAGGATGTTATTCTCCCTGGCTAATGCAAAGCTATTAATACGTTGCAATTGAATGTTTAAACATTCTTTTTCTTATACGGATTATCAAATATTCAAGAATTTCTAACTTTTTTATTGCATACATTTAGAAGACAGAGTTTGTTGAATAAGTCGCTCTAAGTAACAAACAATTTAGTCTCCTCATGATGTTCTTGATAAATTGGCTAAAAAAATTCATGAACTCAATAGTTGAGAAGTATACAGCATAAACATTAAGACAATCCACTTGTCATTGAATTTAAAATTTTGAAGTTCTTGCCCTATTTTACTACAAAATTAATGATATTAATAAATTCAGAATCAAGATACTGGGAGAAATTTTGCATACAGGCAGGAAAAAAAATTAGGAAAAAAGGTCATTTATTTTGCTGATGCATTACAAATCCCACAGCATGTTACTTAATAAAATGATATCAACACATATAACTTATGAAATTAATATAATTCGGGAGTGAGAAGAAAGAGCCAATACTATCCAAAGATGAAAGGTTTCAACTCGAAAGGGAGCCTCAATATAAACTTGCCATTTTGGTTCAACTACACTTAAAAATATGTTTCCATGAATGAATTTAAGCCTCCAAAATATAACTCCATCAGAGTAAACTATTGCTCTAACAAATCTAATGAAAATAATACCCATAGAAGTGACAAAATTATGCTCAGAGTTTTACCTAAAAAAACTGACAAAATTGTATAAAAGCACCAAAGTAAGAATATGACCTAATCAGCAAATCTGAGTAAACATGGAATGTTTCTCTTGTAAAATTTGATCAACAATCAAGCCTCCCCTTATATTTTTCCTTTATTTTTAGTTTTATCAAACAATCCATTACAAAATGGTCCTGTATGTACAAAAGTTACAAGTAGAAAGGATTATGGGATTAGTATCAATTCCAAAATAAAGGACAGAAGGAGAATAATCAATGAGATCAGCATAGGAAAAATGTTAGCATTAAGTTTACCATGCATTTCACGCACGCACGCACAGAAGAGATACCAAAACTCCCTATCTTTGCTAATAATAGTCAGAACTACTGAATTCCTCAGCACACTGTTCTTAGATATCTTCATTGAAGAAACATTGAAAAAAAAAATAGACTTTGATTACCGACATTATTTGTGAAAGTAATCTTTCCCTGCTCTCTAGTTACTCAAACAAAATGATCTCATAAATCAAGAAAATTACCAGCAGTAGACAAAAGGTCAAAACTAAATGTATCCATGATTCCACATAATATGCACTAACAAGATATAGTGACAAAAATTTAAGTTGATGGAGCTATTTTATAAGCTTGTAAGACATCCTAACATAATTCATTTATTAAAGAATGATAATGGTAGCTGATGGAACCAGAATTTATACTGAAGAAATATAATTGAGGCTAAGCTCCTACACAATCTCAACACCAACACAGTGAGAAATTGAAAGATTACAACAGAATTTGGCTACTCTGCTAACACAAATGACATACTGAAAAAGAAGAAAGAAATTACAGACTCAGTAACAGTGACCCCAACTCCCATCTACTCAAATTACCCTCTTCAGTGGCTAGCCCCCTCTCTTAGATGACAATTCTCACATGCCTTTCCTTAACCTCCTAACCACCTTATATCTCCTTCACCTCACCAAAATCCACATCACTACTCACACCTAAATTCCCTTCGCCATTCATTGCTTGCCATGTGAAATTCCTTCTAACTAACTCCCCTTCCTTTCCCTCCATCTGTTATCACTGTTGGGTATATATACAAATTTAGGCCCATCAGTAGCACAACTAAATGCAATTTGATTTGATTAGATAAACTTTGCCAGCTCTGAGAAAAAAATGGGGGCCTTCCACCAAGTCATTCTATATAGCTTATGATAGTTTTAAGTACTAACGCGCCTGTCACATGTCATTTTTGTTTCAAATGGATGAAAAAAAGCATAGTATGGTTACGTGATAACACAACAATCCACAGGAATGGAACACATGTTTCCCTAAATAGATAAAAATATTTAAAAACAAAAAGGCAGCCATCAAGATAAAATTCATCAGAATTACCCCAGGCCTACAAAACATAGGCACTCTTCTTTTAATGTGTTCTGTGGTATCAACAGAAAAAAATAAACCAAGACAGTGAAATTGAAAAATTAAAAATCACCAGTATCTCGATTTAGATACTTGATTATGAAATCAATATGCCATAAATAATGACCACAAGTCCCACTACTCAAGAAAATATATAACTTAAAATGTTGACAAAGAAAGTGATAGCTGAGGAAACTCAAAGTTCAATTTAACAATGAAATGGAAAAGTTGGAAGTTAGGATAATGACCTGCAAAAACCTTCAAAGACTATATTACATTCCGATAATCAATCAAACCTTTGTAGACATCTAGTAAGAGAGGCACATCTTCCTGAAAATTGATGACAAATTTATTCAAAAAATCTTCCTCAGTTGGGCGTATAAAGGAGCTTAAGTGCAAATCATTCTCAAGCAAACATTTTGATTTCAAGATTTTAATCACTGAGAGTCTAGGAATAATCCTCTTCTCCAAGCTGTAGCCTAGAATGACAGGATCTTTAGCAATATCTTCAGATGGCCAACCCATATCCTTCACTAGGAAACTCATTTTTTTGGCAAGTGTCTCCTCTGACAATTTCATAAAATTGGGAAATTTTCTAAATGCTGCAAGAGCCATTTCTCGGTTCCAACCCCACCTCTCATAAACCTCAAATCTAGATTCCCACGCTGCTTTACTCATACTTACAAGTACATAGACAGCAATGACAAAAGTTGTTTGCAAAGGATTAAACCCAATTTCCTTAACTGACTTGACAGCTTCCACAAATTTGGAATGCTTTGCAGATGCTGCACTCAGAAAATGGTCCATAAGGAGAGAGATGGAAGTTTGTGGCACACTACATTTTCTCAAAACCTTAATGTTTGGAACCAAATTATTCAATATGTCACCATATGTAAATCTAACTGGGGCATTTGCGAAAACTCTAACAAGTTTCTGATCATTACGAATTACACTTCTGAGGATCTCATAACGTGGGATAAGGCATTTCTCCAAGCTCCTCGCCAAGAGTGAATGGTTACCAATTAGGATCTTTGGCATGTCACTAGTGGAAACCCCAATCGAACGGAAGAATTTGAGTTTAGGCAAAAGGGTAGTCTCTACTTTTGCAACAAGCACCGATGGATGTTTCTCCACAAGTTTTGCAATCTGGGCTTTAGAGAACCCATAGTTCTTGAGAAGATCAAGAACATCATTTGGGCCATCTGGGTTTTTCAAATTCACTCTTTTGGAGAGCTCCTTAGCCAATTCTGAGGACAACCCACATGAGTTCACGAGGTAAGATATGGTAAAGGTGTCACCTTTGTGGTGGTTTCTATCTGATTCAGAATCAGAAGAGGCGCGTGAAGTGAATGAATTGAAGAAAGAAAGGAGAGCATTGTGTTGACGCAGAGAACCCAAATGAGTTTGGGTAGTCTTGCAGTACGTGAATGATGAAGCAGTTAATATGGAAATGAGAAAATTAGGTATCATTTACTCACTCACCGATTTCAATGCACAACGAACGTTGGTGAGTGCTGCAGAATTTGAACCTTAAAACAGCTACTCTCAAGGCTAAGGAGGAAATGAGGAAATAATGGGGAAGATGGACGTAACAACTCTGCGTTTTGCCTATCGCCACCGCTCTAACACTGCATATTCACATTGAACTTCACCAACCCATCCCAATTTCAGTACCACCTGTGTTCGTTGTTCCCCAAATTAGAAAACTTTCACCGCTCACTGGAAAATACTAAAAGAGGCCTCCCCCGAAATGATATACATTTTTGCTAATTTTGAAAAATATGTGTACTAAGTTCAGTGCATCCGTCGTATTTAAAAACAATCTTCAAAAACAGCGAAATATTTTTAATACTATTGTCGCACCATGGGTGTGACAATCCAATTAAAATATCTCGTTTTCTGTGTCATATATAAGGATTGAAAAAAAAAAAAAATTTAGATGTAATTTTTTAAATGGCAATTGTATATGCTACTGTTGTATAAAAAATGTTCTCCAAAAGAAGAATATGACGAGTACATTTCATGTAAAAGTTTAAGCAAAACAAGGATAACTTTACCTAACAATGATTATAATTTGGGGGAATGATTTTTATAATTATGACAAAAATCATTTTCTCTGTTGTCACTGATATAAAAGCAAAAGAGAAAAAAAAATTAGAAAGAAGAGAAAAATAAGAGAGAGAAGAGAAGAGAAAGAGCACAAAGATTATTTTTTTTTAAGCAGAAATGATTTTTCAATTTTGTAGAAATTGTTTAACTCTTCATTTAACTTATATGCCCTTTCTTATGTCACTCTTTACTATCATTACATTAGAATTTCAACTAATCTTTCTTATTTCTTTCTCCTTTTCAAATTTAGTTCTAATGGTGTGGGAGAGTGATAGATAATGTACGCATAAAAAAAAGTAAGTAAAATAATTTATCCCTTTATATATTTTAATCATGGGGATGGTTATACTTACAAGGTAAATTTACCACCCTTACAACAATCTCATCACCGTTAGATTAAAATTAAATCTAACAGTTCATAATTATTCTTTATAATCCTAATTTTTACTCTCTCATCTCGTCTCTATCTCTCTAAGTTTGAGATTTGCACACCTCTCTCTCTAAGTTTGTGAATCAACTCTCTCATCCTCTTTTTATTGTTATAGTGCTTTGATCTTCAATTCCAGCAAAAATATCTCACTAGGACGAATAATCGGACACGTGAGTTAATTCTTTCCATTGTCACTGAATAAGTTTGTGAAATCGCAATTCTTTTTGAAACAATTCATTATATATATATATATATATATATATATATATATATATAGGGTTCGTTTTTTCTGCAGTAAGCCAATACGACGTCGTTTGGGGGCAGAAATCATGGTGTTTTTGTAATTTTAATTTATTTTAGGGTTATAATAGTCTTTATATTTATAATTTTTTAAGATTTCAATATCAAAACGACGTCGTTTTGGGAATAAATGCAGATAACTTATCTACATTAACTGCAGAAACATTTTTCCCATATATATAGATGTATGCTCGTATGTTATATTATTTTGAAATCGCAATTCTTTTGAAATCGCAATCAGACTACTCATACGTTATATTATTATTTTAGGTGTGTCACGTTAATTACACGAGTTCTTGTTTTGTTGTCCGCAACATCCACCACTGCGAATTGTTTTTATTTGTGTTTTCGGATGTGAAATTCGTAAAAAATTTGTATCTGCACCTTGTAGTTCACATACTTCACAAATTAAAGCAAATATTCTAACTTTCATCAAATTGCTCTGTAGATTCGGAATTTGCCAAAACAGACACCAAAAATAGATCCGGAGCGCCCAAAAACCTTAAGATGGACTACCACTATTGCCAGACCGAAATATTCCCTGATTATTGAAATGTTCCCTAACAGAATATTCCTCAACTAATAGAATATTCCCCTGAAATATTCCTTTTTCTCAAGAATACTTTGTTTCACATAAAAGTGTACCTAAAATTTCAAGCGAACATATCTCCTTCGTCCGATCTCTGTTTAAGGCGAGTGACCACTCAAAATGATCGTCTCGACGAGTAGAACAAAGCCCAGTAGGTTTCACTTTCTGAAAATGGCCGAAATTTCTGGGATCTGGCCAAAAAGTTGCGGCTCCAGTTTCTTCAAAGTCAGATCCCGGTAAATCCTTTCGTCGAATCGCGAAAGTGATTTAGAATGAGTTCCACTCGATGAGATCTTCGCATAGACACCTTACTTGCTCAAATCCGACACACAAAGCTAATACTTCAAGATTGTTGTAGGTTATGAGTTTGAGAGAGAAGGTTTAGAGGTGCTCGAAGTATTACATCAAGATACATCAAGTTTTGATATACTTAGTGTTACCTCCAGCTTAAGAAATCCTAGAGATAATGCAAGCTATTGAGCTCCAGTCCATATGGATCCAAATAACCATGCTTTCACCTAATGGGTGAAAAAAAATGGCCTTGAAGGCCGTAGGCATGTGAGGATGAAAACAAAATTTTCAAGCGGAATTACATATACCATATCAAGAAACATGCTTTAGGACATGGATGTTACATTGTTTGCTTTCCAAAACTTGAAGATGATCAAGGTGAGGCTTGAAGATACAAGCCCTCTAATGTTGATCCACACCACCCTTTGTCAAGACGGAAGAACCCTTCTTCAAGGCCACCAACGAACACCAAGGGAGGCAAGCTAGGCGTCCCTTATGGAGAGGAAGGAGGCAAGGTTTCAAGGTGTTTAGTTGAGTGAATTTTCAGCAAGAAAAACACAAAAGTGGCGCATGGAATTCACTTAGAAAGTGCTAGGTAATTTTCAAAACTCTCTTAAGAAAAACCTCACAAAAGGATGATCAAAGGAGATGAGAGAATGAGTGAATAAAAATCTGATTTCTTCACTCAAAAATCAGCCCTATGTAGCGCACACTAGGAGAGGAATGAGTGGAGTTGTTACAAATCAAATCTTGCCAACAACCTCCTATCATATCCTCATGATATCAAGTGCATATCTCAACAAAAATCTGACTTAACAACCATCATATGGCCAGTCATATGGTGCGCTCCATTCAACCTCAAAACAGTCCAGATACGTTGAGCAGTTGCATTCAAACTTGAACCAACTCACTCACTTATTCTCTCAACAAACCAAATATGATTGGAGCTCATTTGGTTGATCCTATGACCATCACAAGACCCCAAAATCAGCGTCCCAAATCAGCATTGGATGATGTTCGAAGATCTCCTCTTGATACTTAAGATTTGTTCCAACAAGATCTTACCTTATCCTTTTATTATGAAACAACTTTTCATAGCTAATTCAAATTCAAATTCAAACATTTAAATTCAAACGTTCAAACATTTAAATTCAAAATTCAAATTCAAAATTTAAATTCAAAATTCAAATTCAAAATTTAAATTCTAAATTCAAAATTCAAATTTCAAAATTCAAATTTCAAATTTCAAATTCCAAATTCAAAATTCGAATTTCAAAATTCAAAATTTAAAATTCAAAATTCAAATTCAAAATTCAAAATTTAAATATTTGATAATTAATTTAACTAATTAAATTAATTAGTAATGTCTTGGACCATCCAAGCCCATTACATGATCCATGCGCCCTTTTCCCTTTTGGTGGGCTTCCAAACTTCTTCTTGGTCTAACAATCATTATTAGGCCCAATACCTTTAATGCTATATTATCATTACAATAAGGTGTTAGTGTGTGACCCATTAGGCCCAACATAGCCACTGACATAAATGGGCTTGGCTCCAACAAGCCCACAACCCATCTAATGACAACACAGAGCACTAGCAATGCTTTGTTGCCCCAGAGCTAGTTAGGTTAATGACATAATCATCCTATTACACATATTTGGTTGCCGTATGTGTTGGAATTAATGAAAGAATTAATGTACAATGATCCATTGGTTATGAATAAGAAGTGGGTTAATAAAGAAAAGAGAAAAGGAAAGATGAAGAGGTGTGTGGGTTTAACAAGTCCCACATTGGACAATTAGTAGGAAGTGGGAGAGTATATAAGCTCCCACCTCACTCTCATAGTTTGACCCTTGGGTCACTACATATTTTATGTAGGGGGAGGAGCTAGGTGGGCTTTGTTCCACCACATACATGCGTGCTGCCGTCCGGCTCGGCTCGGCTCGGTTCGGTTCGGTTCATATGTGTGTAATAAAATAATTTTTTATTAAATAATTTTTTAATCTTTGTGTCCAAAAAGTATCTGTTGCTTCCCTCCAACCCAAACGTTTCTACCCGCCGGATTTTTGAGCAGTGTTTCACCGAACCGGTTCTTCCCCTTCTTGAACCCTTCACTGGTTGTGTCTGCTCGCTAAACCCTTCACTGGTTGTGTCTGCTCGCTAAACCCTTCACCGGTTGTACCTGTTCGTCGGAACGGTCACCGGTCGCACCTGTTCACCGCTGTCAGACACGGCGGTTCGCCGTCGGCGACTATTCATCGTGACCGGTCAGTGTCTATAAATAGACACTGACACCTTCAGAAATTTATCCAGTTTTCTGTGCACTGAAACTCTGCCAGAATTTTTCTCCTTCCGGTTTTGCATACTGCCTTTCATCTTTCGGTGTACTTTCCTCTGGCAATTGTTGTGTTCGTTTGGGCTGTTGATTGGTAGTGCCACCATTCTTCAGACAAAATCCGTTCTATCCTGGGAGACAAGTGTCCATCAAACTTTGGCATCTGTGAGGGGGAAAATTGTCTTAAGGAGACACGTTCTGTGGGCTCGGATTTTAATTCCTCTACTGCATACATTCATTCCTCTTATTCTGTCTGCTTTATCACACTCCTCAAGTAAGTCTGTTTTAATTATTAATAATTGCACAGTGATAATTCTGATCATCTACCTCCTCTGTTTATACATGGGTTCAAATCTATTAGTGATGTAATATCACCCACTGTCTTCAATAACAGTATGTAGTTCCTTTCGTCTCGGTTACCTTCCCATTAAAGCTAGGGTAAGGAAATGTATCAACCCTTGCGGTTTAGGGTAAGCTTTATTCGAAATAGGGAATCTTCAATTTACTGACTCTAACGGCAGATCATCTCATGACCTCTTTTACTATGCATAGATTCCCGAGTCCTTGTAAATGTCATCCCGATTTCTCCAGTTTACAGATAACCTAATCTCTCACAGAGATTTGATGAATTCCTTCAGCTTATCA